GTCCAGAGGCATTGGCCTGGGGACAGGAGCTATTGGGATGTGCTCAGTATTGGGCAGATTCACTGGCTGGGCACTGAATTCCAAGGCAAAGTCCTTCCCTGACTTCCCTTGGGGGTGGTGGAGGCTGTCCTTGGAGGCCAAGGCCAATATCAAGCTGGGTTGCCTGAGTGTCACAGTTACAGGAAGCTGCTCAGCCTCAGAGATGCACCTCAGGCCCACACTGCAGTTGGCTGTGAAGCAGGCTGAAATGTGGATCTGTTTCACTGGGGCACAGGTCTCTGCCCGGTGCCAGGGCACAAATAGAGGCTCTGTGAGCCATGGCCTCAGAATAGGGCCTTTGGGTTCTGCCTGGTGCTGGGTTTCACCATGGTGGGCCTGTGTTTACTTTCCTGTCCTACTCCTTAATGGCACAGTCTTACTTTGTGTCGGAGGTGAGAGAAGTGATGGTGGAAGCAGTCCCTTGGCTAACACAGATCTGGGGGCTCTGGCCTCAGAGCAGGAGCCACAGAGCTCAGCTTGGTACTGGGTTTCACGTGTAAGACCTGGACTTGCTTCCCTCTCTCTTCCAAGTGGGAGTCCTCTCTCTCCATGCTGCTGTTGCTTGGAGTTGGGGGAGGGGTGACTCTGGAAACTCTTTCCTTCCTCCTTTAACTTAGCATTGTGCTAAAACCAGGAATTGTGGTCTCTCCCTCCCTCTCTTTTCCTTTACTGTGAAGGAAGTTTGTGCATGAATAGCTATTCAAGTCGATGTTTCCATAAGGAGGTGATTGCTGGAGGGTCTTACACGGTTGCCATCTTGCTTCATCTCTAAACGTGGTCCCTGCTTTTAGTCTTTTTGATGTTGCTTCCTTTCTTATAAGGGGCATGGGCAGTGTCGCTCTGTGGCAAGTGAATAGGCTATTCCAGGGAGCCCAAGGACTCTGGCAGAGCTCTACTCACTGGCTGCCTCTGGGCTTTGTGGGGGTGTCACATCCTGCCCGGGATGAGTGTAGGAATTCTTCCTACTCTCTTATTGACCTCCCACTTCCTCTGGGCCCCACTGAGGCAAGTAGAGGATACTGCTCATACTTTCCCAGGTGGGCATAGGGAAGAAGGTTCACTTAACTCTGAATTATACTTGTGGTTTTAAGAGGAACTTGATACCTGTGTCCTGCAAGGTGCCCCTTATCTCTAGGCATCCAGCTGGTCAGCACTCCATCCTCAGATGTCCACACACAAGGAAGACCACAAAGCCCAGGTTTAAGACTATACCCTTAAATCTTTGAGTTTCTGAGAGAGGGATTGTATGTGCACACTTTTGAAGCTCACCTGGACAGTTAACTGCAGGTAAAGGACGGCTTAGATTCTGGATCATAGCAGAGTTGTTCATAGATGAAGTTAGTCAGATCCCAGCACACAGGAATGAGGGGCTTGTAGGTTCTGTGCTCTCCACCTTGGAGTTAGATTAGAGCATTTGGCAATGGGTATGTGTGGCCACAGGAATGACTGCTTGTTATATACACATTTTATTCTGTCATGTGCTTGCATATTCCATCTTGCACAAGTACAGTCACTGGCCAATGCTAAGAGAACTTCACGTGTAGGAAGTGGATGTTGAGCCTCTTTCGAGTGATCAGATCTTGGATAAACACAACAGAAAGCAAGATGATGAGGTCCAATTGGACAGATTTGATTGATGGTTTTGTATATTCATCTGATCTCACTTAATTGAGCCTGTTAAGAGTTTCATGGCACCGCCTTACCCTGAAATATCACCAGGAACATTGGAGAAAACAGAGGGACACTCAGTCCAGCTGTGGTTCCCTCAGGAGAGCTACCTGGTTGTCTTGCGTTCCATCAGTTCTGGTGAGACCAATTCACTCACCAAGTCTTCAATTTTGTTTCTCCTGGATTGGACTTTTAAAAAAACCCTCAAAAAAACTGTGCAATACAGTATTTAAAAGGCTTGTAGGTTCTCGTGCTCTCCACCTTGGAGTTAGAATTAGAGCATTTTGCAATGGGTAGTGTGGCCACAGGAATGACTTGCTTGTTATATAACACATTTTATTCTGTCATGTGCTTGCATTATTCCATCTTGCACAAGTACAGTCACTGGCCAATGCTAAGAGAACTTCACGTGTTAGGAAGTGGATGTTGAGCCTCTTTCGAGTGATTCAGATCTTTGGATAAACACACAGAAAGCAAGATGATGAGGTCCAATTGGACAGATTTTGATTGAGGTTTTGTATATTCATCTGATCTCACTTATTGAGCCTGTTAAGAGTTTCATGGCACCGCCTTACCCTGAAATATCACCAGGAACATTGGAGAAAACAGAGGGACACTCAGTCCAGCTGTGGTTCCCTCAGGAGAGCTACCTGGTTGTCTTGCGTTCCATCAGTTCTGGTGAGACCAATTCACTCACCAAGTCTTCAATTTTGTTTCTCCTGGATTGGACTTTTAAAAAAACCCTCAAAAAAACTGTGCAATACAGTATTTAAAAACATGAAGTCTGAGTCAAATGTAAACAGAGCAGTCTTTTTATAAAGTACAAGCTTTATAAGGTTGTCAAAATGTTTCTCGGATGGTTTTAAAAATCGAAGTAAAAGTCACTTAAGAGTGAAAAGTATTCCACAGAGGAAATTCTCAGATGTTGAATTTCCAGGTTTACATCACAGAGAAGTCAGTGTCTATGGACAAAAACCCCTGGGCAAGGCTGGCTAGGGAGAGCCACTGGACCAGGCTGAAGCCAAGAAGGACACTGAATGATAATTTACTCTGGTGGAGTAACTAAGATGTCATACTTAAGTTTTGCCGAAGATGTCATGCTTAAGTTTTGGATTGGAACAGTGCTCCAACTACAGACCCATTTCCAAAGGCTTTCAGTTCAGGCTCAACCTCCCACCACCAGTCCCATTTCCTAATGGACTTTCCTCTTCCTCCCGCACCTCCCTTTTGCCAACTATTTTGTTTTCAGCTTTTAGAAACAAGTAATGATCAGGTCACTCATTATTCTTGGGCCAACTTCCAGGCATCCCTCAGATCTGAATTGAGAACATTGTTGGCCTGGACTAGGGAGCTGTCGGCATCAGGATTCATCATCTCCTCTTGAGGGCAATCTCTCGTCCTCACTTTGCTGGCTTACTCCAGCCAGAGCTTAGGCAGGCAGAACAGGGCTACTTTGTAGGAATTTGACAGAGTAATTTTGTCTATTGAATCTAATAAAACACCGGGGGGAGGTTATAAGTTTTCCTATTTCATTTTTATGAAACGAATAAAAACACAACTAGCACCACAGGTGGAGTTTATAGATGGTTTGAGAAGCACTGAGAACACTAGGGCCTCCCAAAGCTGTTGCTGAGGATCCAGAGACTGAAACATCCAGGCAAGGGGTGGGTTTCAAGTGTCAAGATGTGTGGATACAAAACAGGAAAGAAGTGCTTATGGAAGCCTGTTGTGCTGGGGTGTGATGTTGACAGCATTGCCCACTGGGAAAGGAAATGGCAAAGTTTGGGTGCTGTGACTGGGTCAGATCCAACCTGAAGGCTTCACGTTTCCTAGAGAATGACCAGGCTCTGGTTATGGATGAGATTTTTGCTGATGAAAGTGCTGCCTCCCGACCCTCTCCTCAACTTCTGGGGACAATAGGTCTTGGGCTGATCAGGAGCCACATCCAGTATAGATGTGTGGTGACTGTCCAAGGGAACGAACCTAGAGACTTATCCTAAGTGTGACTGCCCCTCAGCATTGCCTCATTGGCTCTGCTTTCCATTTGCATGTGGAGTTGGTACCTGAGATCCTTCTAGATTCTTGGCTTAAACCCTATAGCATCTTCTAAGCCATTATGCTGTGTGTTAACTGTTCCTTTTTAATAAATAGAATTAAGTATCTTTGTGGGAGGGGCTACCAGGGACAGTCCTGAAAGCTTTACTCTACCACTAACCTTCTCTCCAGGACTGAACATTTCCTAACAAAGGTCACTGGCAAAGAGCCATACTTTGGCTCACAAAACACTGCTAACCAGCCTTGTCCCTGTGCTGAGATCCCGACATTCCTCTCCTTTAATCTCGCAACTCCTACATTTACCCTTGCTCTCTACATTTCAAAGTGAAGCTCAAATATTCTCTCGTGTGCTTCTCTCTCCTTCCTTTATGATACCACAGTCATTCTAAGATATAGCTCATTTGGGTTACAAGAATTCAACTTTATGAGGAATTTCATTTTATGTCTTTAGCTTATGAGGCGTTTCTTTATTCTTCCAGGGACCAATTTAGATTTTTCATGTCTTTGAAGCAGCTGAGGCTAGAGAAAAGGGAGTCACTATGTGGTCATTGTTAATGTCAAGTTGTGGCTACCTCAGGGATCTCTTATGGCCATGACCTCTTATGGCTTTTTTTTTTTTTTTGCTTCTTTTTGGATTAGAGGACTAATGACAAATTTTGAAAAGGCTTAGAGAGGTTAAGTACCTTGTTTAAGATCCTGTAGCTAGGAATGCTGAAGGCAGAATTCAAGTCCAAGACTGTCTCTTTAGCCATATGCTTAACTCACACAATGTTTAGAATTTATATTAATATATATTATGTCATATATATATATGTATATAAATATATTATGTCAGGCTAGAATTCAGAGTATTAGAATGAGGGTTAAACCATGTATAGGTAAAACCCTCAGGTTCCAAAGAGGCTGTAGTTTCTTTACATCATGATTTCGGTGTGAACTATTTTAAAGGCAGTAAAGATAGACAGCATCTGTGAGATTAGAATTTGCATTCAGAACCATGTCCCTAGCTCAGGAGACATTTATTGGCTATTCTGGGCACAAACTGTGTACATTTCCATAACCCTCTCCCCACCTGCGTGTTTGGAAAGCAGCTCATAGTTGAAGACACAGTTTGTGCAGCATGGTCAGGTGAGAACAGTTAACAGGGATTTCATGCTTTTCTTCCTTGCTGGGTTATTTCTATGACTCAGTTCTTGTACTTGATCATGTTGACAAAAAGAAAAAGACACACACACCAGTGTTACAAAACCTTGTATTAATCATTTCCCTTCACTTTCAATATAACGTTGATATGAAATATAGCCATGATTCTTAGTTACATGGGAGGAAATGAGTAATAAATACATTGTAGCAAGTTTAAACCACAAGGGTGTTTCACTGATAACAACATTTGAAAACTGTACACTTGCAAAGAACAGCATCTTCAAACATTAGTATATCTGTATATCAGTAAAGCTTTTACATGTAACAAACATGCTTTTTCCATATATGACAAATTTTAAAAATATGCATTGCTTGGCAACATGAACTAGGCAAAAATATTTCTTTGTTCACTAATTTTATACAGGAAAACAGGACGAAAGGCATGCATGCATGTACAATACGGATGCCTGTACGGGGCATGCAACAAAAGAAAGAGTTTTAAGTGTCAGCTTACATTAGGCATAAATACATGAGGGTTATATATATTAATAAGGGAGGAAGTCTTCTGTTTGACATCATTAACATTCCTGTTTTCTTCCGATTCCTCCCAGAGGAATACACATTCACCTTTAAGTAAAGATAAAGGAATTACAAAAAAATAAAACTCACTTTGCAAACATATCTGATGACTTATAAAAAAAGAAAAAGAAAAAAAATACCATTAGTGTTATCACAGCTCCATGTGCAAGTTATCCTTCTGCAGGTTCTGCTTGCAACAGGCACACCGAGCGCCTTGCTTAGGCTGCTTCTGCTCACCTAGGCTGCAGCAGAGGGGCAACCCCACGGGGCCCACTTTTCGTCCTTCTCTGCCCTTCTGATAGCAGGCCCATTCATTGAGCCTACCTCAGCCCTCAGCCTAGGCTCTGGCGGACACACATCTATGAACCTCACACCAGCAGTAGCTACAAGAGGTGCAGAAGAACAAAAGACCCAAAGAAGGCTCCCATTCTGTAAAAGGCAGCCAGCAACACCTCAAAAGAAAACCTGGTTTCCCTCAGTGTCACTCAAACGAATGGGAGATGGGGCCCAGCTGCAGCTCCAATCCTGAGTACCAAAAAGGAACCCTCAATACCAGGATCTTGGAGCAGGGTGCAAGCAGCAGCCCTCGGTAGGCAGACCCAGCAGCGTCTATTTTGCTTGCTGGCTCTCATTTTTTAAAAAAAGTGAAACTCAAAAGCATGTGGAAAAAACATATCAGCAGCAATGTTTCATGTCTTATACACAGTTCGTGTGTTTCTTCCTACTGTTTCTGGTAGGAAATAACTATGAATAAAAAAGCACCAAAAACATCATACATGATAACAATGTTATAACATGATAACAGTTATAGAACACCACTGTCCCTGGGACAGGGTAGAGATGCCAAGCACAACACTTAAATCAGAACAAGGAGGGATGGGGGAACCCATGTAGTGAAATAGATTTTACTCTGAGATTTTTAAATCGTTTGCTATTTACTTAATATAAAACAGTTGCATTTTGGGGTCAATGGGTAAGTACAAAAAAGGCACTGCCGCGATTACTAAATATCCAACTTCACAGCCTTATGCATGCAACTGTTTGATTCTTTTATAAATAAAATTCTTTTGCTTTAGGATTTTTAAATTGAGCTGTATACCTGCAGTCAACACAGGACTCAAACACAAGGTGAGGACAGGCTCCTATGATTCATCAGAACAACCAACTCAAAATAAAAATTAAAACACTAATATAGCAAAACACAACTAAGTAGATAAATCTATACAGTCAATGAAAAATAAGCTTTTCTTTTTTAAAAAAAGAATTAGGTTGTTATTAATAACAGACTTTATCATGGTTACCAGCCATAGCAAGTTAATAAGTAACATATCCAAAATAATATCTCTAATAATCAGATAACCATTGTTTCTATATTCAGTGAAGGAATAAATAGAAATTCAGATTTGCAAATACTTTAAGGTCTTCCTTTTAAAGGATTCATGCTAATGTTACCTCTGTGTTCACATTCTGTTTTCTGAGTGACGCGGTTCTTTTTGGATGCATGTGTTCTACAGCAGTTCCGAACGCTCCGTCCTTTCTTTATGAGACCTGTAACCCTTTCATCTCTTCCCCCTTTATTAACTTTCTCAGCACCCCCAAACACATCCTCAGTCCCTCTGGCCTTACCTTTGGCCTTCAACCTTCTGATATAGTCCTTCTGTCTTACATGTGATCGTCCATCTAGCACTTTCCCTAATATTAAGCTTGTTTACAAAAGGGATGTGAGAGATGGAGGTTAATGGCACTTGGTTAAAAAAAAAATCAACTAAATAAATGCTGCCTCTTTATGCACATGGATTTGCATCTTTAGGCTGTAGTCACCCAAAGCAAGGTCTGAACATTTTTTTCAAAAATAAAAAAATTTAAATACAACTGAATGAAATTGTAGATTCAAGCTTTTTGAACTCACTAAAGGCTCTATCTGGTGAAGATGCCCTCAGCTCTTTGGACTGCAAAAGGACTCTAAAACTTTGCTGCAGCATCCAAGGCTGTGTGTGGGTGTATATTTTTAATCTTGAAGGTAAAAGTTGTTTGGATTTTATTAAGGCCTTTTATTAAGGCATTTTAATCTGTGGGTTCTTCAATAACTTAAAAAAAAAATAAGCGAGTATAGTAATTTTCATGGTCTGATCTCCTTAATTTTGACTCTAATTTCACTTTTACAAAAGGTACCAGTCTCACCCATTTAATAAACAGGCCTGATACATCTCTCTTATCTTGCCTCTGGCTGAGCAGTCATACCATCACTTATACAACCCAATTTTCCAGTGCAGAGCAAATTTCTTTTTGATTTCCTCTAATACCCTCTGTAGTATCAAATTCTGAAACGCTGTCTTTCTTGCCTTTAAAAAATAGAGCTATTACACTGAGGTACCACAGCTTGTTAATCTCTAACCATGTAATGAGTGTGGTTTTCTCCCCCTTCCATTCTGAAAGGATGGATGAATTAGTCAACAATATAGCAAATCTCTGACTTATGCTGTATTGATAGAGCCATGACTTCTATTATAAAATCAACCATTCTTGCTTCTACTTTCACTGCCCCCCTCAGATGGTGGGGCTGGAGTCCATGGATGCTCTCTCACACTTGCTGACTGACCCCTATTACACTGTTGCTGGCCCTTCTCTCCTTTTCCTCAGCAGGGAATGAGTGAAGGGGACACACAGGCTCAGATTCCTTGAATAAGTGTTCTGGGTATTAGACCTGTTGCAAGGGAAAAACATACATCCTCGTCTTTCTTTCTCCAGTGGAACTTGTATCCACCTGTGTGCCTGTGGAGTGACACCAGGACTGCTAGGATGAAACCCATGGGTAGGGTGGGAAGGAAGAGGGGTCTTTGGATGAGAAGCAAATCCAGCCCAGAAAGAGGCTGCAAAATTGGTTCAGAAGCTCTCCATGATCCGTGAGCAAGTCCACAACTGATCACATGGTGCCATCAACCTTGTGCCCTTGCCTAGTGCTGTGCTCATTCAGTCACATCCTCATCCTTCAAATTCCCTCAACACGGTCCTCCCACCTAAGGGTGAAACATGGACAACTCAGGCCACATGACTGCATCCAACTTCCCAAGAAGCAGAGCGTGGCAGCTGTTTTAAATGACAACCCTGCTATTATAAAAATAGAGGAGAAATGAATCCATAGCAACAATAAATCCTTTACAAAAACCATAGTATGAAGATAAGTTCCTACCCAAACCCTTTACACATCAGGTACCCTTGAAAATTCTTATGTAAACAATACACAAATCAAAGTTTATGTGAACTTTTGCTGGAGGGAATTTCTTCCTTCTTGCCCCTGTTGCTATGTGACCCTTTCCTGTGGCTGTTTCAAGTGGGGGCCTCAGGGAAACCCAATCGTGGGAGACATACAGGTGAGCGGCCATATTGCTTTGGTCACGTGTATCCATCTTCAGTGGCCTGTGAGGTCAGGCTCTCTGAGAAGGCTTCCTCCTAGGTCTCCCATATCTCTTTCATGGCAGGCCTCTCCCCTGCCTTCCAACCAGGAGGCCCCTCCCCTCCCAGTCCCACATTTCCCTAGAGACCCCTCCCCACCCTGCACATCAAACCATCTCATGACAGAAGCAAGTGACAACATAACCAGTCCCGGATCTACTGATATGTTTACAAGGATGACCTGCGCTCTCACAAAGTCAAACTGGGCGAGGGACCAGGGCAAAACGGCTGCAGAGTATCTTGGAGGGTTCTCTGCAACCCAGAAGATGGCTGACACTGGGCCCGCAGCAGTCCATTTCACGGCCAGCGCGGTCATGCTCATCTTCAGCTTCTAGATCGTGGAGGTCCGGTCAACCCCGTCTGGGAAAGAAGCCCACAGGGACACAGGTAAGCAAAAACAGTTCTGAGTTCTGAGTTCTGGTCTACAGATGCCAACATGTTGGGCCTCCCAGTCTGAGGCGAGATGAGGCCTTCACTCATTCATTTCACATAATCACACACCTAACATCTCACAGGCAGGATACAGACATGTGAGCCAGTAATGATGCTATCAGTGATAATTTCTACAAAGGACTATATACCAAGAGAACAGGAACATGGAGGAAGGAATGTTTGATGTCCTTGGAAATCAAGCACCATTTCAGAGATACAAAAGGATGCTTGTAGATGGGAAGAGTAGGAGAAAGTGTGCCAGGCAAGGACACAGGAGAGGATGACAGTGAAGACATACAGACGTGTGATGGGTCATCATCGAATGGTGGGGTCAGGGAATGTGGTGGGGGCATGCATGTCAGCCATGAGTGAGACAGAGGGAGATGCTCATGGCTGCCTGGCCTCTTTCTAGGTCTGCTTAGCTGGTTCTAGGAAGGTCCCCCAAAACAAACCCAAGGGCCTTGTGTACCGTGAAGCAGGACTTAGGCCTGGTAGTTGGGGAATCACAAATGGTAGAGCAACCAGCTCTGATTATCGTAGCTGTGCCAGATAGCCTGAAGAAGGACAAGGCTGATGACAGCAGAGGCTCCTCCACTGATCCATGCCAGAGGTGGCAGGGCTTTGTTCACTAAGCAGTCAGGCTTCGATATAGCCACCACAGGAGGTAGAAAAGGCTGTGTCAGTGAGTACTGAATGAGGGGGAGGGGTTGATGCTGTGAGGAGCCCTCCTCGCTTTGCTGGGATCTACAGGCCAGCAATACGGCCTGGTCCAAGCCCCGGTGTGGCCAGCCTGGCCTACCAGATGCAGGTAGGACTCAGGTGGGAAAGAGGAGTGGCAGAGTGTTCCAGGGAAAGCTGGGGACTAAGTGACATGGAAGAGTAAGGAGTCCACGGCAGGGGTTTCTGGCCTCCTTGCCAGAGGTGCCGGGTAGGCTGGGACTTGGAGGAGAAATGCTTCTTTCATTGAATGTTTGTGTACTTACGGTAATGGGGTTTGAAAACCAGGGTCTTATGCTTGCTGGGCAAGTGCTCTGTCTCTTGAGCCATACCCCAGTCCTCACTGAAATTTTTGTTGGGATAATTATATGTTCACAAGCAGTTGTAGGAAATGGCCTAGAGAGATCTCATGGATACCTTGTCAGGCTTCTCCCAATGGTGACAATTTGCAAATCTATAGGATAATATTGTAGCTAAGATAGTGACCTTGACACAATTCACTGATTTTATTCAGATTTCCCATTTTAACTGTATTTATATTCTGTGTGCATTAAGTTCCAAATAATTTAGGAGAGATCCTAAGAAATGAAGGAATGGTTTCTTGAGTGTTTGAGGTATTAATCATCAGTCCTAGAGACCTGAACATGTGACTTTGTTTCTTTTTGGCAGTGCCAAATTCAGGGCTTCATGCTTGCTAGGCTCCTCTCTGTTTGAGCCACGACTATAGCCCTTTTTGCTGTGGCTATTTTGGAGATAGGATCTTGCTTTTTGCCCAGGCTGGCCTGGACTACGATCTTATTTTGTGCTTTCCACCATCACTGGGTTGACAGGTACACAACACCGCACCCAGATATTGGTTGAGATGAGGTCTCACTAAACTTTTTGCCTGGGCTGGCCTCAAACCACAATCCTCCGTATCTCAGTCTCTCAAGTAGGTAGGATTACAAGCATGAACTACTGGTGCCCAGCTTATGTGAACTTCTAATCAATAACTTCTCACCTGTGGTGTCAACCTGAGCTTTCTGAGTGTGGCCCTGCAGTGATAACTGGTTCTAGGAGAATGTGTGTTTGCAAAAGTCTCTCCATTGTGGGGATGTTTGAAGAGGCCCCTCCCTCATCTCTAGAAGTGCAGTGAACTCTTGACTCCTTGGCTTATTCAATGCAAAACCTTTATTGCTGTGACAGTGTCGAGTTGGAAACATGAAAATTTCAATTAACCCAGTCCAGAGCTGAATGTTCATTGAATCTCAACCCCATGGTACATTTTTCCAAGGGTGACAGTACTTAACCTGCAGGGAAGTGACTAATTAGTCCCGACTCACTATTTCAAGTTGTGTACTGACAACTTTAGGGGGCACCATATACATGTAACCACCATAGGTTTTATAGTTATTATGACAAATTCTAATACATGCCAGCTCAGTGCCTGGAGAAAGTAATTTGTACAAAGTCTCCATCTTGGTTATAGTGGGGTTGCTAAGTCCCACAGAAGGCATAAGTAGAGAAGGTGAGGAAGAAGAGCAAGGTGACGTGTGTATCTCAAAAATCAGAGCATGGACTATGTAGTCCTCACTACTATATGATTCACTCCAGACTGCCAGGAAGAGCCTTGCTTCTTTCTATAGCCGTAGGTAATCCTGCCCACAGAGCTGTCTGCAGGAGGAAGACAGAGGCCAGGCCTGGCAGTTCATCTTCATGAATACCTTGGCCACCCACCAGGAGCAAACCCCACAGAGCTGGATGAAAGCCTTAAATAAAGATTCACAAAGCAATATGGCAGAGGCAACCAACCACCTGGGTCTCCTCATTGATTCTATTAGAGGGGCCTCGGGAGAGAAGAGAGGGGATGCAAAAAGAATGACAAAGAGCAAAGTACCACAAGCATAGCAGGAGTAGCTGAGATGTCAGCACAAAAAGAAAAGTACACAGGGCCTGGGGCCTATGGACCAGCTTGGATGGTCATCAGGATAACAGATGGTCCAGGGAACTTGACACCCTGTTCCTCCTCCATTCCTGAACTACAAGCACAGGAATACTGTGCATGGTATTTTTCTCCCGGTAGTCATTTGTCTTCCTGTAAAATGACTTAATTGACATTTGGTCCCCAGCAAGGTCTCTTCTCTGATACCTGGAAAGGGTTGGCCCAAAGAAAGGTACTATCATAGTGGGAGGCACACTGTCATTGTGCCCAACTAGACCACCCTGAAGCTTAATTTGCATCCTCTACTCAGGAAACTGCTTATGAGGCTTCCCACCAGCAGGAATTACTGTGAAAAAACCCCACAGCAATAAAAACGTTTAGGAGAGTAACAAGATGAAAACACTAGCAAAAACCCATCAGCTCAGAGAGGTAGTCTATAAAAATAGAAGAACAGGCTAAAAAATGTTTCAATGGAAACCTCCATTTAATAGAGAGCATTTGGCATTGTTGCTACTAATAGTGGTACTTATTAAGACTCAATACTATTCCATTGTATGGCTATGCCATATTCTGTTGTCCCATATTTAGTAATTAAGGGACATTTGCATATTTCCCATCATTCATTAGAGGGCTGCTGACCAAGTCCCCTCAGTAAGGTAGGGGAGAGGAGCTGGTAGCACCTCCCATCAGAGGTGCCCAAGATGGCCCAGTGATGCTATAAAACTTCTAAAATCAGCATGGCCAGGGAGAGAGCAGTGGTTTGCAGATAGGGTTTCCTGGAACCTTAGGGAGGTCACAGAAGGAGCTAGGTCTTTGGCCTGAAGCCCTGTGATGCTACAATGGCCCTGTGGGGGGTGGGGGGGGCGGGCCTTCAGTTCTCCCCGGTACTAAAGTCAGGTGGGTGTAATTCCAGGCCTTCACTCTTCTCCACGCAAGTTTCAGGATAAGATTGTGTTTGCACACAGTCTGTCGCTTGCAGAGACTAAACATCTAGAACTCTGTGTCTGGAGGATGAAGCTTTTTGTGGCAGTAGCTCTCAATGGCCTTTTCTCCCTAGGGCTGCCAGAGGACTCACAGCTCTGCTTTAGGTGTGTGGGCGGCCCATCTCCCAGGCAGGGAAGCATGTCCAGGTGGGAGAGGGCTATCGGGGAGGCTCATGGGTGACCTCTCTGGATCTCTGTGATGCAGATACTCCCAGGAGGTTGGCAGGAACGGTGGACATCTCCTCTCCTCTCCTGTGCCTATCAACCCTCCACAAATGTGCAAGCCAGGAGAAAGGGGTGGGAGTTCAGTATGAGGAGGGCACTGAAGCCCCCAGGATGGCCAGAATAAGTAGCTGCAGGCTGCAGACCAGAGGATGAGGGAGAAGGTGACACAGCCACCTTGGGGAATACCTCCTGGGTACACAACCCCAGCCCATGCTTCTGGCACATCCAACCAGTCCCTGCCACATGGTGAAGGACAGCTCAGGCTGCCTGGGGCTCCAGGCTGCATGCAAGCCATTTGCAACAGGGAGATATAAAAACAAGCAGGGATCTTTGTTTCAAAAATTCTATTTTTAGAGCACATTGGGATATGCTTGGCCCTGACCAGGGGATCCAGTGCCGAGGAGGAAAGCATCCAATGCTGTGGGGGAGTGTTCCCACTAAAAGCCGCCTTGTGTGTGCCTGACGCCTCCAGCTCTACACTTGGCTGGGACAATGGCTGCGGTGGGTTCCAGTGTGCACAGGGGGTGGAGCTTCTGGGGAAAGGGGGTTGGCTTTGGTCTCTGGTCTCCAGGTCCCTGACTCACCTCCCAGAAAAGAGAAGCACAGTACAGTGAGGATTCAGCAGCCCTTCCAAGGCTGCTCTTTCTCCTTGTTCCCTGCCAGCCCTCCTTGTCCCTTTCTCATTCTCCCTGGAGCTGCTGCTAGTGTGTAAACAGCAGATGGCCAGGGGTTGTCCCCAGCATGACATTCAGGGAAGACGCACTTACCTCCCAGGGCGTGCTCGGTCATACTGAGGCACAAGGACTCCAGCCTGTTGTTGATGTCAGGTTCAGTCACAGGCAGCTGGAATTCTGCAAGAGACAAAGGGTGACAGGGACTCTAAGAACAAGGAGATAGTATGCACGATGCCACCTGGCTCCACCTACCAAGGTGACTGTCTGGCATGCTTCCCCAGGAGGATCCATGGGGACCTTTGGGGTCAGCATGAAGGGCAACCAACTTCTGAGGTCTGGTAGGCACAGTCCATCATGGACACAGGTGGCTGGAAGAAAACCAGAGACTAAAAATAGTTGGTCATAGTCATAGTCTGTCACTCTGCTCAGAACCTCCAGTGGCTTCTCATTAGAAGAAGAGCCAACTCTTGGTCATAACTTGCAAGGCCCCACACCATCTGGCCTCTTGTTACCTCTCTGCCCTCATAAGCTCTCCTTTTCCTCTGCTTCATATCCCCAGCCCTCTTTTTACTGCAGGGCCTTTGCACAGCAGTTCCCCCTGCCTGGAATGTCAGTCCATGGGTGTTCTCCCCTGTTTTCACAGCTCAGGCTCTCTCAAAAGCATCCCCCAGTATCCCTTCCCCTTTGTTTCTTTTTCTTCATAGTCTTCACCAATATCTGACATACTGTGTATTTACTTTCTATCTCCCCCAGTCGAGTACTTGCATTAAAGCAACAGGATTTAGCATGGCTCTCTGTGCTTAGAACCCAGCCAGGTGTGTTTCTGCTTCATTATGAGGAGCAAGGTAGGAAAACCCCCAGTTTGGTGAGTGCCTCTTCTTGGTGGGAGATTGATCGGGGCTCTTCATCTGCCCGCAGTTCTCAGTTAACACAGAGCGAGCAAGACCCAGGCCTGACTCCAGAGTCTGTGTCCTCCTGCATATCATGGCAACTGTAGGGGACTGTCACCACTCTTGGCTTCTGAGTACTTCAGTAGGAATGGCTGAGACACCTATTCTATGGGTTCAAGATAATCAGTGCCCCTCTACAATCAGTGCCCTCTCCATCTCCCCAAGCTCCAGTGTCACCTCTCTCTAGTGAGAGGCAGCTTCTAGGAACCACCTCTTCTTTCTGGCTGGGGGACTCACAGGTGGCAGCACTCTGTCTTTCATCCTGCAGAGCCTTTGGTTATGTTAACTACTAGAAACACCTTGCAGACAGCAACAATGACTTCCTATCCCTAAATCTCCCATAAGCCCCAGCCTGGGCTTCTGCACAGTCCATACATGTCTGCTGAGTAAAGAAAAAGATGGATCAAGAAATAGAAAGATACTCTGCCTGTTAACAACTGTGAAATCCTACAGAGAGAGGATGTGGGCAAATGGTATGTTCCAAGTGACTGATAAGTCCCAGCATTGCCACTGCCTTCCTATGTGAAGCTTGTTTCTGCCCTTGGACCTTAATTTTACCTGTCAAGTAGGGAAAGCATTCTGCAACCCAAATATCAGACCATTTTCCTGCTCCTTCACTTCTCCACCAGGGGGCACACGGAGGAAGAAAAAAAAAAAGAGGTTGGCCAATGGTGGGATAGGAAGTTGACCCAATGGCTAAACTGAAGCCTTTGTTTTCTTGGATTATCTATACATTAAGGTCTTTTGTGATCTGGGTTTCCTATTCCCAGCTAACTCAGAGGCAGATGTCGGTTGTTTCTGTTATTTAAAATTCTCAAAGAGAAGGCTGGCCAAACAGATCGATAGGAGAAGCATGGGGGAGCAGTCAGTGTTCTTTCTGTTACAGGTTCTAGTATCCATGGGTTTGGAAGACAACTGGGTCAGTTCCTGAGTAGATGTAGGCCAATCGGGCTTCCAGGAAAGTTGGGAGCCAGAGAGAAATGGCAGGAGTCTCTCCTGTCCCCACCTACCACTTGCTGCTGAAGAGCAGGGCTGGGGCAATTAGACAATCCAGAGGGAAGAGGGTTTTCATATTTTCATCCATTCATGTGAAAATCATATGCATGCAAGAATTAGCAGTCTTTGGGGTGTGAAATCTATAAAATAGAAACACAACTTTATATATAGCTAGTTAGCAAATATGAAAAAAACAAACCTCAGCAATTATAGCCATCCATATGCTCATTGTAAGATTGAGTTTACTCTCTAGCGCTCCCCTTTAAACAAACACTGTGGAGAGATTTGGATAAATAAAGATGCTCGACATTTGGAGAGAAGTGTCTCAGCTGCAGGGTTTCTTGCCAACACCCAGCAAAGTGCCATTTTCCATGCCTGGGTTTTGCATGTTCCAGAAAGGGGGCTGAGAAATGCAGGGCTCTGGGCTCCCAGATCTCCAAACTATCTTGGCTGCTCTTTTAGGTGGGAAGTTGCTCCGCTGGCTTTTTGTCCCTGGCTCTTCACTGACATACTGGGAAGCTGTGACCCCACCACTCTTGGAGTGGTTCTGGAAATTTCTTAAGTCTTAGGAGAAGCCCATATGTTCACACTGCAGCGTTTCCTAATAGTGTGACTTTTTAATTGTGTATTCAATAAAAACAGATCACTGGTATTACACATAAAGACAGAGGGAGACAAGTCAAGCAGATCGAAGCTGTTCTCTCAGGCTAGAAACCCTCAGTGATGTGTGGCTTGGTGGACAGAACCCTTACCAAAAGCTCCAGAGGGACATTTGGGTACCTGCTGGCCCATGGGCCCAAGTTAACCAACCAGGCCACCTTCGCTATGGCTCCTGATATACTGGTGGGCTCATCTCACTTATCTAGACCCCAGATGAAAGAGGCCAGGCAGACATAGCTGTGAGTCCTCAGTAAGGCAAAAAAAGAAAGACCCTCACTGTGCCTTCTCTGCTGTTGTCTGGAACAGGCCTGTTTCTTTAGCTAAATAACAACTCTGAGTAAGGGTAGAGCTTCCCTAATCCAAAAACTCGAAATCTGAAAACCTTTTTGTGTTCTGACATGAAGCCCCAAAAGTTTCAGAGTCTGGAGTATTTCAGCGTTTGAATTTTCAGATTAGTGATGCTTAATTGGTAAAATCTATACAAATAGTCCCAAGTCCAGGAGACTCTGAAATCTGACACACTTCTGGTCCCAAGCATTTGAGCTAAGGAATACTTAATGTGTATTAGGAATTCTTCTTTTTCCTCGCCATTAGACCATTCCTGGATTTAGCAAGGATTCCCAGGGTCAAGACTGACTTGAGATTTCCCTTTCAGCAGTCCCACACATATAGAATAGTCCAGTCCCATGAAGCTTCTGGAAGGGAGCAGCTACCCTTCTTAAGAGGTACTACTGCGGGGTCCACTTGACGAGCCCATGTGTCTTGTCCTTGGTAGATAGCGCCAAGTGTCACATCTGTGGTCCCTGATGCCATTCTGCAGAGCTCTCTGTGAGATGTTGAACTGGGGGACTGGTGGTAATAAGCAGGTTCCTTTATTCTTTTTCATTTTTATTAGCATATGTTCATTATACAGAGGGTATTCATAGAAGCTGATTTCTTCAGGACTTTAAGCAACAGATGGAGGCATTCTGGGAAAAACCTTTAGAACTGCACTTTGCTACTACTGGCTGCTGAGCCTGCTCTGTTGAATAATCAGAAAGGCTTTGAGTTGGCTGTTGAAGAAGGGAAAGCAGGGAAGACAGGCTGACTCTGAAGGGGACAGAGGACTGGACCACTTGGATGGATGAGTAGATAAGAAAGCAGGACAAGGGAAGAGGACCCAAGAAGAAAGGGGAAGGACAGTGGTAAGAGGAAAAGAAATAGCATGGGCAGGAAATGAAGCCAGTATGGTGGGCAAGGTGATTGTCACAGAGATGGTCGTGGCAGGTGAAGTGAGTAGTGGACAGAACCTCTGAGGCCACTATGGGGAATATGACTTTCCTCTGGTGGCCTCTTGACTGTACCTAGACCTGCAGGAGAAGTCAGTCCCCTGGGACCCGCTTTCATGAGAAGTGATGTGTGTACTGTGGTATTAGATGGTATCAGGCCATTTTGCCCCATGCTGACTCTCAGAGGTAGAGGAGGGGGCAAGGAGCTAGCTGTGATAGAACTGATGCATTGACCAGCTTCCCTGCCAGTCCTGAGCTAAGCTGCTTGATTTGGTTTATCAGTAGGCATGGAGCAAATGTTTACAGAGTAGTTAGTGGGTCCCTGTTCTGCTCTGTCTGCTTCTGTTTGGCAGAACCTTCCATTCCCTTAGTGGACGCAGTGCTCCAATGGCTTGCTCCTTTTTCCTGCCCTTCCCAAAGGCAGGTCTCTGGACAGAATGTGCAACTCACAGTAATAAGGAGGGAGTGAAGGATAATAATCCCTGCGCAACAAGGCAGGCAGTATTTTGAGGGAAAAGTCCTATCCATGAAATGTTGCCATGTAAGATGCTCTCGTCTCCACCTCACATCCAGGTAGTGTGGTTCAAGGGTAATTCGCAGGTGATTTTGTGTAAGGAAAGAGATTTGCAGAATGCCACCTAACCCATCCTGCCTCTGGTTTTCCTGGGAAGCCAGCTCTATGCTTCTCTGTCCTTCCTGGGGGCAAGGAGCCTGCCTGTTCTCCGAGCATCAAGTCAGAACCTCCAGGATCCTCCCTGACTGGATCAGCAGAAACAGAGCTGCTTCCAAAATCAAGGCTCACTCCACAAGCAATTTCCACATGAATTTTGCAGATGGGGAAGCGCCCTGCCTCTGTGGGCAACCTGGTGTTCCTGCTGCTGCCACACTGGTTTTGAGTACAAGTTTCTCCTTGGTGAGTGTCTTAGACCTTGTCTTCCTTGTCCAGAGGCCCATCTGAGATCTCTGTTCATTCCAGAGGCCAGCAAGTTACAGTAGCCACCTGGCAGCTCTTCTGCTTGGTCTGGAAACACACCTGAAGCCTGTGCAGGTGGAAATAAAGAGAAAAGCCACCAAGATGGTCTCTCAGGGGCCCCAGACTAAGCAGACAAGGACAGAGGGAAGTGTGCTGCAAACCTAGGAGGGGTGACTGACCACTGAGGGCTGGTTTTGGTGCCCAGTCTTTTCTGTATTCTTTGGAGATGTTGTAAGTTCATAGAATCAACACTTTCTTAGAAGACACTGTAGGTCTTTGATATTGACCATGTGACTTAAAATGGATGCTTTGGACATCTAGGGGCTGGGGGAAAACACTACCTTGTATTGTAAGGCAGTTTTCTGAGTATTTAATTCTGGGGTTAGTCATGCCTTCTATTCTACTTTGCATTCACGCTAACTCCTTATTTGTGTAAAGATGAAAGCTGCTTTCTGCCTTCCAGATATGACACTTATAGTCTAGCCCTAGCACCTGGCCCTCAGAAGTGTCCATAGCTGACCAGGTCCTGCTGCTTTTCGTGGAAAGGCCCATCTGCCAGAGGCCCACGTCTGTGGCATGAGCCTTGTGTGGACCAGGTTTGGGGGTTAGAGCTGCCATCGCTGTGAAGGAAGCCACCTCCTCCGGAAGCAGGAAAAGCACTCAAGCAACCTCTGGTCTTGAAACCACTGTTTGATTGTCGGAGGCAGGGGATGCACTTGGAGCTCTGGGCAAAAGCTGAGGAGCAGTGCCATTGGCAGACTTTCTGCAGCCCCCTTGTCTTTCAGTGAGGGATGCTGGGTCCTGGCCGTGCCTGAGAAGGAGCCACCCAGCATGGTGTGTAGTGCTAGTGTGTTCACAAGTTGATTTGTAATCAGAAAATTTTGTTCTTATGCTTTGGCCATTATTAGAAACACTATAGTTCTTAGGTGGGCACAGTGGTCCACACCTGTAATCCCAGCTACTCAGGAGGCAGAGATCAGGAAGGTCATGGTTCACAGTCAGCCTGGGCATCTCAACAAACAACCTGGGTGTTGTAAGCCCAGTTACATAGGAGGCATATGTAGGAGGATTGTGGTCCAAGGCTGGCCCCAGAGCAAAAAGTGCGAGACCCTATCTGAAAAGTAACTAAAACAGAAGGGCTGGAGGCATGGCTCAAGTGGTAGAGTGCTTCCTAGCAAGAGTGAGGCCCTGAGTTCAAGCTTCAGTACTGCCATAAGAAAAAAATAAAACAGAACAAAAAAACCCTGTAGTTCTCTAAGGCCTGATTGGAGGTGGGTATGTAATGCTTGGGAAAGGGATTTATTTAAAAAAAAAAAAAAAGATGAAACCCCAAGGGCACCAGTGCCATAAGTTCCTGTATGTAAAGCAAATTTATAGAGTGTCTGAGGCAGCCACTCTGCAGGAAAACTGAAGGTGTACTTCTAAGTGGTTGCTTCTGGAACATGTGGCTGTGCGGTGGGATGGGTAGGGCAGAGAGACAGTTTTTTATAACCACTTCTGTGTCATTTGATTCTTTAACCACAGGAACAAGAGGCTTTGTGAGAAGAGAATGAAACCCATCTTAGGTCCTAGTAGCCCTGAGTGTAAGCCATCACTTGTCACTGCTACAAAACAGTGGAGAGGAGACAAAGGCACAAGTAAAGGATCCATATCACAGACCACAGTGCTCGGGGACAGCCCAGCTCTTAGAAAGCAGACTGTGTGGTCAGGTTTTCCCAAGGAAGACAGAGAAATCTCAGAGAATTTATAGTGAGAATGAGGACTGGGGAAAGAGATGAAGAAAAAAAACCCAAAAAACATAGGCCAGAAAAAAACTCAAGAAAGCCACCAATGTACCACTGTATGAGGTTGAAGGGGGTTGAGCAGCTGTGCTAGGGCTCCAGTGAGGCTAGGCTGGGCTGCAGACCTGGGACCGAGGCAGGGTAAAACATTCATTCAAAGGTGAAGGGGATCTCCTTGTGCCCAGTTTGTCTTCCAACTTGTCTGGATTCACTTTTATTGAGAATGGACAATACATAATTCTTCAGGAAAACAGAAATCAACTAAAAAACTCAGAGAAAAGGCCTTCACAACACCCAAATTTTATACCATTCCTTCCGAGGAAGAAAAAGAGCTAGAGGCCAGGAGTTCATGCCTGTAATCCCAGTTATGTGGAAGGTGGAGGATGGAGGTCTGAGACCAGCCCAGGCAAAAGCGTGAGACTCTATTTAAAAAATAAACTGTGCTTGGCAGTACTGTTCAAATGGTAGAGCACGTGCTTAGCAAGCACGAGGCTCTGAGTTTAAAAAAAAAAAAAGCTCTATTGAAATGGAGAAAAGAAGCTTTAGACAAAACTAAGCAAATGAGCAGAGTTTGAGTCCAGAGTAGAGCCATGGGCAACTCACAGGGCCATGTGACTGTTGCTCCCTTTTCTGACAAGCCTTTCCCCACCAGGTCCCTCCCTCAGCATCCTCCTCACCTCCAGCCCACCTCTGCTTTACACACACCCCTGCCTGACTCCAAATCTTCCTCAGCCTCCCCAGGAGAGGGGCTGGAGTCTGAGCACCTCAGCGTGGATTCGAAATCCCCCAGCCTGGTTTGTCATCATAAAGGTCCCTCTGTTTCCTGCTTGCTACTCCAGCCAGACCTTTCTGCCCAGGGCCTCAGTCTTGCTCCCTGGGCTCCTCCACAGGTAAGACTGCTTGCCCTCTTCCCACCTCTTCAATCTCTGTCCCCTGAAGTGCACCTCCAATTCCAAGAAGCTTCCTTGCCCACACAGGGCCACACACCATTCTCCTCCCTTGGGAGTCCCATACCACTTGGTGTTCAGAGTGCTCGGCTGCCTCTGGGGGGCATTTTCCATCTGGCACAACACATTTTTGGTTTGCTATCTGGCGGGGGGTGTTGAAATAGGTATAGTGATATCTGTTGTGGCTTTGTATTACTCTGAGTCTGGAGGTCACTGCCTGCATGGAGAAAGGGTTCAAGGATCTGCGGGCTGTGTGTAATTCTGGGTCCTGTTTTAGGTGGTGCTGGGGTTGATGGGATTTACATGAAGTGGGTCAAGTCACACAAGAGCCAAGTACAGGAAAGATGGCTGCTCCAGTAGTCATTGCTTTCCAAGGCCAATCCCAAAGCAGCATCAACACCATCAAGTTTTTTCTCTCTCAATTTCAACACCCACCCCACGCGGGACCCCTCCAGTGATCTCTCTGGTTTAATCAACCTACAAATATGACAAGTATCAAAAATATCCCCATCAGATTGCACCTGACTCTGGGGCTCCAAGAGCTGGCTCCCAGCCAGGCGGCCACTATTCACGCTGGCAAGGCACAGTTTAAAAAAGGAAAGACTTCCCCCAGCTCCAAAGGATGCGTGGCAACAGTGAAGGCCCAGCACTTTTGGGCTGGGCCCTCGTCGCCTCCGCGTCAGGGGAGGAATGACGCGTCCTTTGGGCCCTACCTGGCTGCTGGAACATGAGCAGGTTCTGCGGGGAGGAGTGCACGGGCAGCGAGCGGGTCCTCTGGACGGAGCTGTGTGTGCGACTAGGCATGCTACTGCTGCCTCCAGGGCTGGCGAACCAGAGGGTCTAAGGACAAAGACGGTGGAGGGGGGGTCAGTCCAGACACACTGCGGGGGACGGACCCCAGCCGGAGCCCAGGAGGCCAGTGTCCCTCCTCTAACTTCCGGAAAGGGCGAGCAGGCCAATGCTCCCCCCATCTGTGTATCTACAGGGAAAGAGGTTACATCCACTCCCTGCATCCGCCCACCTGCGTGTTCCCAGGCCTTGCTCTAAGCAAGCTCACTCTCTCTATCCAAACTCTTCTTTTTTTTTTTACCACATTTGTTGCTTTTTCCTATCACGTTAGGGAAATGGGACGAGTTCTGCAAATGTTTGTGACAAGCAGCACAAGCTCTCTCCGGGCTCTTGTTTGATTTTCCTTTTGAGAGTCTTAAAGTTTACTCCACAGTGAGGAGGAGGAAAAAAGAACCTCTCAGTTGGTGATGAGCTGGCCCAACGCAGCTGCTGTGTCCTGGCAGTAACTTCCTCTGGAGGCTGGGGACAGTGGTCAGAAAGCAGAGCTTTCTCAGACCCTGGGCTGCTCCTGTCGGGAGGGAATCCCACCCATGTCTCCTGGAGCATCTTTCTCATTTACAAGTCAATCTCTTACCCCTTAGTTTCTCACGAGAACCCTGAGCCTAGTCCTGCTCGTCATGTCTCCCAAGTGATAGTGCCAACCTGCAGAGCCTCCAGGGCTAAGGGCACATGAGTGAAAGGCAGGTGTGGGGCCACAGGACAGAGAGGTCAGCTCTAGATCACATGGCCGGGACCTTGGGACAGCCTGACTTTGACCAGCTGAGAATGTGCCAACTCTGTCTCTGACAGCCCCTCTCAGACTTAATCCTGGCTTCCTCATCACAGCTGGGACCATGGCAAAAGAGCTATTTGTCACAGATAAAAAGGCAAAGAAAGCTTCTCAAATGCTCATGGCCCTTGGGAACCCAGAGCTGGGGAAGTGATGAGGTGTGTTGGGACTGGCAAAGGTCAATGTGTCTTAAAGGGGTCTCACAGGCAGCATCCCCAGGGCTAATGTGGTGCTGAGCCTCCCCAGGTTGCTTGATCTCCCAGGACACAATACAAACTGAGCTGGTCCAACTGTCCCTCAGTTTAGTCTCCTGGGTCTCTCTTCCCACCTTGGGGTCATCTGGAGGGAAGTCCCTAAGCCTTAGCCCCAGCTCCTGCCCTTGGCCAACCTTCTGCTTCCTGGGGCAAAACAAACCTGTCTTCCTTGTTTCATGATGGTGGGGTTGGCTGCGGTGTGGCGCTGGTTGGAGCTGACGAATCCACCGGTGCCCAAGAGGCCAAGGCGGGCAGAAGGGACATTCCGAGAGGGGATCTGGTACTGGCGTGGGTTCCGTCTGCCCATGCCGCCGCCCACAGAGCCGGCCGTAGGGAGGGAATTGGACTGGCCAAAGCCTCGGCTGTGAGAAAAGGAGAAAGGACAGAGAAACCATCAGTCATTCTTCACCCCTCCAGAGCCCAGGCTGCCAGTGGTGTGCCTCTTGGGACCTTTCACAGTATGACAGCTGAGAGGTCTATGGAGAGGTCTGCACCAGTGAAGCGGGCTATGATCAAAATGGCAACTAACACCTGAGAGCGAATAGCATGTGCCGTCTGGGGTCTTGCTCTTCAGCCAGCCAGACAACCCTATGAAATAAAGATTGTATCCCTTTACAGCTTAGAGAAGTAAAACAGAGCTCGATTATTTTGCCAAGGCCACATAGCCAGCAGGGGGCAGCACTGGACATGAGCCCAGATGATAAACCTGCAAGCTATCCTGCCTTCTTCCATGCCCTGTCCGGTCCAACCTGTGGGGCTGTGGGCAAGAGCATGGGTGCCTTGCAAGAGATCACACGATAAGAAAATGGCAGGACCAGAACCGGAACTGGGGCTGACTGTCCCAATGCTGCCTCCATCATAGCGTGGTCCAATTCTGATCGGTCTATCTGTATGGCCGACTTGGGAAGCAAAGCTCCATTAAGGCATTAGATAAAGAACGGTATCTGTCTCCCTCAATCCTGGATGGCCAGGCTGGAATGGGCTCCTGGCACAGGAAGCGCTAGCTGAATGAACTAACGGTTGTCGTCATGAAGGTTCTGCAAATGCCAGGTCCAGTCCTGTTTGTGGGACTGACCCCAGGGTTGAGTGCAGGGATCCCAGATGATGTTTGCAAGTGCCCTGGACCTAGGATATAGCCTGCCCTTAACTCCTTGCAGAGTGGGATTTGCAGAGTAGGCTGCCAGCTTCACCTGGGTCCATGCAGGAGGCTGCTCCTGCTGGGCCCAGTGAGCTCAGCACTGAAGAACTCATCTTGTCCAGCGGCCTCAGGTTCTGGGAGGTTCCATGGCAGCCAGCGGGGTTTCAGGAACCGTCACATTCTTTCCAAAGAGAGTCAGCTTTAGTCATTCACGAGGTTTCGGTGGAAGTGCATTGCCTCCCAGGGCCACTAGATGGCGCAGACTTGCTTGCCCGGCTACACTGGGGAGTTTGTCCCAAGCCTGCGAGGAGACTCCGCAGACAGGCTGACGTAGTTTAACGTGGAGGACGAGGGGGGCCTGCAAAACAGTCATTTCCTGAGCAAGAGAGAGTTGTGCATGCGTGTGGGGGAGGGGGCGTCCGAGCTGGCAGCACAGGAGGTCTGAGATTGCTTCTCTTCTCCCCAGAAGTCCTAAATTTCCTAGGGAGAGAGGGGGCAGGGCAAAGCATTCCAGGCTCCAGTCTTTTTACTTCCAGGCTTTTGTGGCCAAGGAAAGTGTCCTAGATTTGAGTCACAGGAGGAAGAGGACACTAGAGGTTCTTGGTGTCCTTGTTTATCTCCTCCTTTTTCCCTCTCCCTCCCTTTCCTTCTTTCTACAGAGGTCTATAAGATTTTTGATTTGAAAGAAATTAAGAGTCAGGAAAGGTAGGAGTCATTTCATGGGATGCCGCCTCTTTTGAAGGGAGGGCACTCTGCAGGATATGACAGGTGGGAACAGGGATCAAGTATGGGTTTTTTTGGTTTGTTTCTTTAACTGTGGAAACTAGTCCTTTGATTTCTGGAGTCAGAATTTTGGCCACCTGGTAGATGATTCAGTGTTCTGCTAAGATTTTTTTTCCCTTATTTAGTGTGGATAGCTTTTTCTTACTTTCCTTTTTGGTTAGATTTTTTAAAAAGTTGTTTCATATGCAAAACACAGCAGTCAATGAGTGTTGCTAAAATGATTTGTGCTTCCAGGAAGGCTTTTTTTTTTTTTTTTTGAGACAGGGTCTTGCCGTGTGAACCAAGCTGACTTTGATCCTCCTGCTTCAGCCTCCTATGTGCTGGGATTACAGGCATGTACCACCATGCCTGGCTCATGACTGTATTCTCTTTTTCTTTTGCAGTACTGGGGGTTGAACTCAGTGCCTCACACTTACTAGGCAGGTGTTCTACCGTTTGAGCCATGCCTCCATCCCTGAAGACTGTATTCTTTAGCAGAGGATTTTATAACAGGACAGTCACTAGAGAGATAAGGGATCTTAGGACTCTTAAGAGTTAGGACCCAGCTGTTTGGGAGAGGAAAGAGGAGCCCAGAACATTCTGGGGATAGGATATGATGGGACAGAATTTGGTCAGGCCATCCTTATGATGGTGGGGCCTGCTGTGTCCTCTATGGATTATTACAAAGCCAGGTTTGCCGAGGGTTGTCACTTTCTGGCACCTGGAGTGAACACTTAGGTTAATTAAGATCACTAGGCTTAATGAAAAAAAATCATGCTTTCTGGAGAGAGAACAAAGTGACTGAAGTCTCTCTCATCCTGCTCTGTGCATCTGTGCCTCTCCTCTGCCTAAGTCTAACTGATTTCATTACCTTAAAATGCATGAAAAGTCTTTGATAAAGTAACATTAATAAGAAGCAATTAATTTGGGATTTGTGATAATTCAAGCAGGGGCCAGGCTGCAGTTACAACCTTTGTATTATTGGAGAAACAGGTCTTCAAAGCAAATTAATAGTGTAAAAAGATCCCAGAGGAAATACTTATGAGAACAAAATATTTTCCAGGGTTTTAGCAGCATTCAATTGAGCATCCACAATTGGTGACTGAATTCATTCTTTCTTATCTAATCAATAAAAAGAGGTCCTTCAGGACTCTGCTCTGACAAACCTTATGTTAGCCCAATCCAAGTGGTACTGATAACATTCTGGAGAGGCTGAGGCTACAGCCTGTCTCTGCCCTAAGCAGGGCTCTCTGATGTGGATCCAGGACAAATACAGACGACGAAGGGAGGGGACAGGGCTTTGGGGAGAAGGAGCAAAGAGCTGAAAAGTCCTATCTGCAACTTCAGCCTCTGAATGCCTTCTTCCTCTTGGAACTTGTGGTGTTCCAAGGGCTTGGTGTTGCAAGTGGGGTCTGGAGCCTCCTCCTGTAATTGAGAGTTGTGCTCCGTTTAGAAGAAGGGAGAGTCAAGGCCAAAAGGAATCCTCAGGGCATACAGGTGGTCTAGCCCAGCCCATCAGAGTTGGCAACAGTATTGCTTTGTTGGAACATCCTTTGCAAGTATCAGCCTCAGAGTAGGAAAGTTGCCTGGCTCTGTGGTGGTGATTTGGGGCTGGCACTGGCCTGCTTGCTCCAAATCCTAGGTGCCAGTGCCTACCGAGTCATCTGTAGATTGGGGTTAATAATAGCAGCTCTATCTGATAGGGTTGTGGCAAGGATGAAATGTATTAATATTTTTAAAGTGCCTGGATACCACTTGGCACATGGTGCGTGCTAAGTGAATGTTTGTTTAATAAATAACAGTGCTGTATGCTGGAATGTGATAACACTTTAATTTTTAAATAAATCTTTCATGAAGACTTTTCACAAACTCCAGCTGGCCTTAGCTCCCTTAAGTAATACAAAACAATGATGTTTCAAGGCACATTTATGCAAACAAATGCCCCAAATTGTAACAACACAGCCTCTATATATGCACTGAGACATGAAACGAATTCAGAACCCGTTAGGTGCAAGGGAAGAAATGACCGTTTGCTCATAGCTTGAGATGTAAAATAGAATGCAGATTCTTTTCAGGATGCTGCTTTGTCATTCCCTACCATTGTGCAAAGCTTCAGTCAGCCCACCCCTCCCTCTTAATTTCTCCTGCAAACTTGCCCTTCAACTCATCTTTAATATGCAATTGGATTCTCAATTGAAAGCCATATCAAGGTAACAGTTCCCAAAGAACAACCAAGCTTATTTTTAACTGCATCCAAGAAGCTGAAGTACTATGAAAAATCAAGAATGGTACTGCTCCACTATTAGACTGCAGCTCAGACCAAAATAGACCAGCACTGGGCTCTCACCCTGCCACCAGCTATAATTAGCTTGTCTGCAGTTAGAAGGGAGAAAAAATTACACTACCACTTAAGGTGCTGATAGAAGAGCCTGTTTTCTTTCTTTCAGAATCCCCTTCTGCAGATCAACCACAGGGTTTTGCTGGCATCCATTAACTCATACCCGCGGTCCCTTCCGTACCCATCTAGAATAAGACCGTCATTCTGACAATGTGAACCGAGTTACAGAAGCTCACATTCAACTTTTCCTCTGGGACTCTTCTCCCTAACAGCCTTTTCCCAACACCACCTGTTCAAGGAATGTGATTCGGACCTCGCCACAGGGCATCCTCGTGAACAAGGTGTGATGCTTTGCCTTATTTCTGCCAGAGTGAGGGGAGGCAGGGAGGCACTGGGGAACCACCGAGCATTACAAAGAATGAAGCCCCAACATACTTTCTTTGCTGTCGATATCCTGATAGGTCTAGAAGGGTTTTCCGAGGGAAAGACCGAAAGAGCTTCTGCACCTGCTGTTTCCATGACAACAATCTTTTTTTCTGTGTCTCTGTAAATGCCTGCAAAAACAAACAGGACTTTTAAATGGGTGACGCAGCCTGGCAGTAGAGGGAGAAACATGCAATTAATAGGGGAAAACATTGGCGTCTCTGCAGTTGCCTTTTTGTCACCTGTTTCCAACCTGGTCCAAACAGCAGTCAGTTTAATTTGGGAGCCGCCTGTGCTGAAGATCCCAGTTATTTGGCATTGCTTACACCTGGGAAGGTACATGTATTAAGCTTTTGACCATCCTTATTTTGGGTTGCACTTCTGGTAGATCCATACCCCACCTTCCCCTCCTCTGACTCCTCACTGGACCCTACCCATTAACCAAGAATGAATTGCAGAATTGATTGTTGAATACTCTGGCTTTTGCAGGCTCCTTACATTTTCATAATCAATGGAAATTCTAAACCACTCCAAAAATCAATCTGCTTGATGATGTTTGGTCACCCTGGAGTGGTCCGAGGGGCTTCAGTGAACAGAGCTTGTTTTTTGTGTGTATTTTAGAGCTTTGCTGAGAAGGGCCCTATGCCATATAAAAGCCCCAGGATACCAGTATAGACCCAACTCTTGTCTATAGGTTAGGAAAAGGGGTACATCAGAGACCTTCTCAAGTCTTTTCTAGTAAAATTGCTGTGTGGGATGTCTTGCCTACCGCCCCATAACACGCAGCTATATCACGAGTCCTTTCATGTATATAGCCTTTGCACTCACCACAGCCCTGGGTCATGAGTCCCCAGTACAGGGACCCTCAAATTTGCAATATATCAAAATCAACCACAGAGACTATAAAATGCAGTTTCTGTGGCTCCTGCCACAGCCCGGACTAACTGAATCGATCTGGAGGGCTGACTCCAGAGGTCAGTTTGAGCACGCGCCCTTAGTGATCTTGCAGATAAAACAGAGACACGTAGTGTCCCAGACAATGAGGACTCCATCTCGTGTAGGAGTACCCACCAAGTGCCTGAAGCTGTGGCCTAGAATAGAAACCCACCTGACTTGGTTGATCAGCAGTTAGAACAGATAACATTTCCAAGTAGTTTTGTCAATAAGGCATGAAATCCCTCAAGTAGAATAAAATATTACTTAGCGTAACAAACTAAAGGGCTCGTTCCCAAAAAGGAAACAGATTCTTTAAACGAAGAAAAAAATGACAGCTTAATTTTCTCCTGAGGATGCTTAATCTTTTAAGGACTTAAATAGAGGAATGCTCTGTGAACAAAAGCAAAAAGATCACATTGTGGCAGTGATGACAACTTGCAAACACCTTCCTCCTGGATGACCTGAGCCGGATGCAGTGAAGATGTGCACCAAGGGGGGGGACCCAACTAAAGGACCTGGGAAAGCTCCACTGGAGGAGAGGTGTGAGCCGCCTGCAGGTGTGTATCACGTGGTCTCACAGCTAGCAGGTGAGGATGTGGTTCTCCTCCATGGTCCTTTCTTCTCCATGATCCTTTTCACTGTTGGTGCAGCTCACTGAGCATTCACCTATGCACATGCCTACAACCACTGTGCAAAAGGCACGCATTTCTCCTGGATTGATAAAGGCAGGGGATGGGTTATTTTGACCACTCTGTTCAGCCAAATGTGGAGAACACAAGATGCAGCTGTGCTGGTTAAGATGACTGGGGAGGAAAGTCCAGCCCAGGTCAATGGGTAGTAGGAAGGTTCTGGATACAGGTAGGCAGGGCTTGAATCTTTGCACACACTTATGCAAGTTCTGCTACCCAAGACTGAGTTCCTCCTGGAAACTGAGGGTGATAATATCTGTCTTGCTAAGAGGGACAGTGTGAGGATGAGATGAGGTAATATGTGGAAAGCACTGAGAACCTGGAAGGTGCTCTTAGTGATGGTTTCACACATGCTGTTCCCACATATCCTAACAAGGTGGGTTTGGTTACACAGGCCAGCCTTTTGGGGGTGGTCTATGAATGTTCCTCACATTTGGTATTGAAGAATGACCTTTAGCCCCCACAGCAACACAAATCAAATGATATCATAGTCTCAAAACTACAGTATTGAGCTGGTCTGGAGCCAGCTTGAAGAATAACTGGCCTGAGTTTCCAAGTGTCAAAGGAGTAAATGGCTCACTTCATAGATGTCCTTCCAAGGACACCATTACATGAGGTCTCATACATGACATCTCCCATGGTGGCAAACAGCACCCATGAAGATGAAATGCTCCACAGAGAGGTGGGCTTACTCATAGCACCTGGGCATCAGGCTCATTTAGTTCAGGTCTGCAGACAGGAGCTGACTGAGTGTGGTGACTGACTCTTCTCAGCTGGGAGGCATCCAGTGGGCAGGCCAGAGCTGGGTCATGGTGGCTCTGGGGATTTCTGAAGTGTGGATCCTGTACCTGCAAAACTGCGCTCCATTATGAAAGATCTGTTAATGGCTGATATCCCACTCCAGGCCCCACTACTGGTAGCCCAATGCCTCAGCACTCTTGTGGGAAAGGGAGATTCTTCGCTTACAGACTACCCAGTTGCCACCAGTCAACCAGTTCAGCCTCCTCTGATCCTGTCAGACTCAGGCCAATATGTCAGTCTGGAGGAAGATGGCTGCAATGTGTCCTACAGTTTATGTGCTGGATGACAAGCCTCCTAAGGACAAAAACCCATCTTTCCATAATCACCTCAAGACAGGAGCAAGAAGCCTGGGATTTTAATCCAGGAATCAGAGTGATGGGACTCAGAACTTTCCTATCCTTTCTTTTACTACTCCAGGGAGTTGGTGCCTTCCTCTCTGGGGAGCAGAGAAGTGTCCTAGTATAGTCAACACCTTCCTGTTTCCAGCCCACTGAAGAACAGCACACTCTGGCTATGAAAGGGAGCTCTGTCTCCTAAGCCCAGGCTAACCTCAGTCAGGATGGGCACTGTGTACCTCAACCGGGCCTCCCAGGAAGGGCGTGTGCTGCCTACACAGAATAACCCTGGGCTGTGGAAAATTATTCAGATGCCTTTGCTCTTTCTCAAACTAAAATAATAATAGAAAGACTTGAACAACTTTCCCTTCCAGAGCACAGCCTGGGCCCTTCCATCCTGACATGAATTCAGACAAGCAGACCATGTTAGAGAGACCCCCGTTAGAATCAGCAGATGAGACCACATGTTGCCATCTTTGCCCTGACCCACTTGGGGCTTCCAGGGAGGAACCACAGAAAGAAAACCCAGAGTTGGGACGCCCAGAGAGGTCAGGGAGTATAGCAGGAGAGTGAGACAAATCAGGCCAATTTTCTAGGGCTGTGGGCCAATCAGGAAGCTGGTTCAAGAGAAGCAGCTGGAGGACTCATTATTTTGGCCTCATGGGCTCAGCTGCCTTGACATGAGGTGGAAGGTACCTTGTCTTCCAGTATCTTGAAGACTCAACGAAAGAAATGCCTGGGAGTCTGGCTCTGGGTTAGGCATCCGCCATTCCTCCTCTGAGTTCTGAGGGGGCCTTCATCAGAGGCTGTATTGTAAGGTGTGTGAGGATCTGTTTTGGTTTGTTTCACCCACCATCCTTATGCCATAAGCTGCCTAGCTAGGGACCGGGTCTAGGTGCTCGATAAACACGTATGGAATGAATGAGTTGTAATATCCTTCAATGTGTTTTTGTCTTCCCTTCTTTCTGTCCCATTTTTCTAGCCCAAACAAGTGCAGAGTCTCTTTTTGGGCAGTATTGGGGTTTGAACTCAGGCCCTCATGCTTGCTAGGCAGATGTTCTACTGCTTGAGCCACGCTACCAACCTTACAAGTGCAGAGTCAGGATTAGAAACATCTAAGGGCTAGTTGGGGCTTGTGGGGATGGCCTTATCTCTTACTGAAATAAACACGAAAACTAAGCCTTTCAGTTTAGGTTTTGGCCATCATTATACAGTGCCTGGTTGCTCTGGGGAAACTATTAAAGAGAAAAAAAAAAATCCTCTTTTTTTTTTTTCAGTGAAAAATCCAGGACTTTGGGATATTTCAGAGGATGGTGTATCTTACTTCCAAACAAGGTAGCTGGTCACTCAGCTCACGAAGTGACAAAGGGTTCTGGCTCTTGGTCCCCAGGGTAAGACTTCACAGACTATAGACAGGGTTTTGGGGAGTGGGGAAGGAGAGGCTAGGATGGATCCCCAGAGGGAGACCAGGCACCTGTACATGAGGGGTGGATAGCATCAGATCATAGGAGGTCCAGAGAACACAGAGATCTTCAACAGCCCAGTGCCTAGGTGGCAGCTGGGAGGTGGGGTACAGCAGTCCAGGCTCCTGTGCTGGGCATCTCCTTCTCTGGAGGCCCACTGGACTCTTGGGGTTCTGGTTACAAGTAAAAGCAAGGAGGCTTGGGGACCCTTTGAGACTTCAGTACTCTAGGTTATATAGTCCTGAGTTTTCTGTAGCCTATACCTTATCTCTGCAACTCATTGGAATGGGGGTACCCAAGGAACCACTCACTGGATGTCTGCATCTGAGGCCTAGCTTTTTCCATGTGTCTCTAGGGGCAGCCACCAGCCCCACTGTACCTAGAAGTCTGCCTGACTGTGTCTGTGAAGAACATGTTCTGAGAGTATGGTAGGCACACCCCCAGCCTGCCCCATTCTCCTTCCAAAAGACATATGGCAAATACAGTTCCTATAAAAACCACAAATACAAATAGCCAAACTGCCGTTAGTTCATACAATCACACACACCCCAACATTATTTGTGTGCAACTTTGCTCTCCCTCTTTCCCTCCTCCAGCTTCCCTGTCCCAAAAGGCAAAATATTCCAATACAATGTTAATACTTAAAGATGTTCGGGACCAAGTGGCAGGGCTCCATGTTAGATGGTCACTCAGAGATTCTTCTGGAGTCAGATATCCTCTCTGGCGTCCCCTTACCTCAGATCTCTGGGTCTGGTGAATCTCTGACCCCCAGGTAGTGTACACACTGTGTTTGGGTTTGAAGTAGCCATAGCCTGGTTCTTCCCCTGCTATTATTAATGACTGTCCACTGCTCAGAAACAGGTTGTTGACCAAACAATCACATCACAGAAACTCTGAAGCATTTCTAAGCAACGAGGAAGAGTTTGGGAAACCCAGTCAGTACTCACCTCATGAATGAGACACTTGTCTATGAGCTGTAAATAGGAACTTATATTTTCCTCATCAGGTCTGGAGACCAAGAGCTGTGTGCACACTGTGAATTAAGACAAAAAGATGAATTAGACCAGTGCACACCCATTGTCACCTCTGTGATCTGCTTTGGATTCCTTTCAGGATCAAGACCTCGTGAGGTATGTGTGCCTGTAGCATTGGGTAAGGTTCACACAAAACGCCGGGAGGCTCCTCATTCCACTGAAGTCAAAAGCTTGGTCACCCCGGGAGCCCCTTGGGTTAATTCCAGTCATACCATTCTATATTAAGCCTTCAGCCATCGGGCCTGAGACAGACACTTGGTGAGAGGAAGAGCAACAGTTTCCTCAGCTCTGTCTTTCCAAGTGGCTTTGTGTGAGAGGGGACCTCGAAAACCTCAAAGGCCTCCAACACTGAGGGAGAGATGCCCCCATCATTTTCTGAATGAACTGCACACCTCTTGCCAGGTGGAGTGGCAACAGCATTTGTGTGTAGAGGAACCAGGTTGGCACCTCTTTTAGGTTGTGAGGTGTGTGGGTGGAAACCTGCCACTCATTCATTGGAGGTTTATTTTCTCAAAGTCATGTGCACATTTATACACACAGGTTCACCTACGCATTCCAGTTAGCACCAGAAAGACAGGGCAGAATTAGTCTGTGGAAAGAGGACATGCAAACATGGGGTTTCTTACAGCCATGCTCTGTGGCCCACTCTGCCTCATTAAAGAGGCCATGGGGCTCTGATTTTGTTGTGGGAAAAAAGAAGCCAGCTAGAGAGCGAGTGTGTCTGACACCCTAGCAAACCAAGCATGAGATCTGGGTCTTGAGTTTGAGTCCCCCCTCTTCCTATCCAGTCTATCACCAAATCCCAACTACTCCTTTGCATCCAGGTTGTAATTAAAAACTTGGAAACCCTGTAGGGTCCATTGATAGGAACCCTGTTAAATAAATTTTGGTTTGTGCATGCAGTGGATCAAGTAGGCAACCTTGAAAAAAAGGTGAAGTGTTGTTTGTATTGACAGAAATATTAAAAATATGTAATGCTTTAAAAAAAAAACACACCAAGCATGGAAAAGAACATGAGACCTGTGTGTATACAAATGGAGAGTCACATGCATGGACATGAGGACAAGGTTTGTGAGAGGAAACCCCCAAAATTGGAAGGAAGATGGCAGGGCTTAGAGGGAGGAGGAGAGGTGAGTTTCACTTTCTATCACTTTACTTAATTTGAATTGTGTATGAAATGTGTTTCATGAAACACACTTGTGTATTGAGCATGAAATGTGTTTATAACCTCTCTACAGTAGTTACAATTTAAACAGAAGCAGTGCGAGAGGGAGGGAGGGGTTCCTTGAGGGCTGAACCCACTCTGGAACCCCTTCCTGGGAACCAGGCAGATGGACCACACGTTCAGGTAGCTGCCCATGAAGGCTTGGCAGGGCTGTGTCCTTACCCATGGGAAGATCTTTTCTGATCCAACACAGCTGAGGGATGGGGGGATGTGGGGAGCGTAAGGGCCTGCCCAGGCTACCAGCCCTGGGCAGCTCTGGGTCATCTCCTTCTGTACCAGATTTCTAGCAATTGAAGTCTTTTTAAAGGACTTGTTGGGAGGTGGTATTTCTCACTTTAACTGTAAAGCTCAGATGTGCACTTCTGTTGGTGGAAACCTGGTTCTTTAAAATAGTCTGAAACATTGATAATGAAGGACAAAAATGGCTTCCTCTTTCCAAAGAAAAGCACTAGCATTCACCATGTCTTTTTGAACAATCAAGATTTCTCATGAGACAGTCTACCAAGCACAAGTTATTTCAGGTTGGGCATTTTCAAGGACCTGGGCGTAATGGTCTGAGGCTCTGGAAGGGAGGGGACAGTGCAGGCAGGGTCGAGGCTGCCTGGCAGACACGTGCCCAGCATGGCCATGGTGTACAGACTAGTGTCACACCTCATTTTGTGCATCAACCCCTATCAGGCCTCTGCATCAGCCGGGTCCTGTGCTACCTGTGGGGTATTCAGTGGCTGTTAAAAGTGGCGTGTCACCACGAACAACAGGTATTGGCGAGGATGCGGGGAAAAAGGAACCCTCTTACACTGCTGGTGGGAATGTAAACTAGTACAACCACTCTGGAAAAAAATTTGGAGGCTACTTAAAAAGCTAGACATTGATCTACCATTTGATCCAGCAATACCACTCTTAGGGATATACCCAAAAGACTGTGACACAGGTTACTCCAGAGGCACCTGCACACCCATGTTTATTGCGGCACTATTCACAATAGCCAAGTTATGGAAACAGCCAAGATGCCCCAGCACTGACGAATGGATTAAGAAAATGTGGTATCTATACACAATGGAATTTTATGCAGCCATGAAGAAGAACGAAATGTTATCATTCGCTGGTAAATGGATGGAATTGGAGAACATCATTCTGAGTGAGGTTAGCCTGGCCCAAAAGACCAAAAATCTTATGTTCTCCCTCATATGCAGACATTAGATCAAGGGCAAACACAACAAGGGGACTGGACTTTGATCACATGATAAAAGCGAGAGCGCACAAGGAAGGGGTGAGGATAGGTAAGACACCTAAAAAACTAGCTAGCATTTGTTGCCCTCAATGCAAAGAAACTAAAGCAGATACCTTAAAAGCAACTGAGGCCAATAGGAGAAGGGGACCAGGAACTAGAGAAAATGTTAGATCAAGAAGAATTAACCTAGAAGGTAACACACACGCACAGGAAATCAATGTGAGTCAACTCCCTGTATAGCTATCCTTATCTCAACCAGCAAAAACCCTTGTTCCTTCCTATTATTGCTTATACTCTCTCTACAACAAAATTAGAGATAAGGGCAAAATAGTTTCTGCTGGGTATTGAGGGGGTGGTGGGGAGAGGGAGGGGGCGGAGTGGGTGGTAAGGGAGGGGGTGGGGGCAGGAGGGAGAAATGACCCAAGCCTTGTATGCACATATGAATAAAAAAAAAGTGGCGTGTCAGCACTGCACATTCCTGCAGATACAGTCAAGCACACCAATGACTGCAATCCAGTCTCAACTAGGCTAAGACAAGGAGAGCAAAGGGGCCGTAGGGCTGTGAGGGGACCTCCCAGCTCAGGGCTGGTGAAGAGCATGAGGTAAGGGAAGGAGTGTTCCAGGCAAGGCTGCCTCATGCAGGAGTACAGGGTGTGTATCGCTAAGTGTACTCCCAGGTGAGGGTGGCATCTACTTAGAGAAGATACCAGCCTGTGATTCTCATTGAGGCTTCTTGTGGACGAGCAGGGCCACAAGACAGAGGGAACCCATGTGCACAACGGCTCAGGAGCAAGAGAAGACACAAGCTTCTGAGAACTTTGAGACATAAAGTCTGTCTGGAGCATGGAATGGAGGTGGTGAGGGCAGTGGAGGTAGTGGGGAGAGGCCAGGTGACAAGTGACTCTCTAGGTCTGTGTTTTTATCAACTAAGAGCAAGGGGGAGACATCATGTAACTTCAAGTTTGTCTATGTGGAGCTAACAAGAAGGCATGATGGGAACCATATTGGTGGGTGCTGGAGAAGCCTGTGGGGTTCAAATCCCAGCCCTGCCAGCAGCTGTGCAAGCTGCAGTGAGGGAGGTTGTCTCGGTTTTCTTGTCTGTTAAATGCATATTTGGGGGATTAAACTGCCCAGGAGAAACACTGTGCCTGGCACACAGTGATTGTTAAATAACCACAAGCTATCAGAGGGAGAGCATTTCGTATGGTGGATCAGAACTCAAGGGAGAGGTGTTCCTGAAATCACTTTTTCCAGGGTCTGTCCCACCTTCTTTCCCTGATGGTCCAAGGCCCAGTGTGGTCTCTAATGGGAGGCCCAAGCATCACTGGTCAGAGATCAGAGAGGCGGGAGTTCTGATCTCAGTCCTGTCTGTGCAGTGGACCTCATGCCATCTTCTGGATCGGGTAGTTTACCCAGTACCCAGGGAAGCCCTCAGGACCTTGGGGCTCTGGTGAGTGGTTTTAGAGAGAATACCTTTCCCCATGACGCGTGTGAACTGCCCAGGGAGGTCCCCTTCCGGCAGGGGTGCAACAGCCAGCTCCCCATCGCAGCTACTCAGCTGGTGTGGCTGGAGCCCGCCGCTGGCCCCGGCGGAGGCACTACCCACGGCACTGGGTGCTGAGGTGCTGTCTTTGCAGTCGGGGCTCTGGCTCTCGGGGCCCATCAGTGAGGGCTGGTGTGGGGCCGGTGGCTCCCGGTGGCGGGCCTCTGGGGTGGCGCTTGGGGAGCTGTAGGCCTTGATGGGCGTCAGGATCATCTGGTGCAGCTCCTGGAGGGGGATGCGCAGGCTGCCCCCCTCGATGATGTCCTGCAGGGTCAGAGGAAGAAGAACGAGTGAGGCTCAGGAGCAGGTCACCACCTGCATGCCTGCCCCCCACCCCCGCCCTGCCACTGTCCTCAGCTATTCTCAGCTGCTGGCCCCATCAGCACAAGGTTCCTTAGAAATGCATCCATTTAAATTTCACCTTTTGAACACTGGACTAGGTAGAAAACTTGGAAAATATAGCTCCTTATAGCCAAGAAGATGTGTGTCACCTGAAAATCCCATTATGTACAGATGACCATGAAATAAGGTTGATCTCCTTTCTTTCCTGCCTTCCCGGGAGCCTCTTTATAAAATGCATTTCTTCTTTTTTTTCTTTAGGCACTGCTGGGGTTTGAACTCAGGGCCTCTCTAGCACTCTGCCACTTAAGCCACACCCCAGCCCTTTGCCTTTTAGTTTGTGGTTTAGATAGGATCTCATGCTAACTTTTGCCTAGGCAGGTCTCAGACCATGATCTTCTGTCTCCACCTCATGAGTAGCTGGAATTACAGCATGAACTACCACACCTGGCTGCACTTCTTATTTTAACACTTCAGAGGTTGTATAACAAAGTTGGATCAGAGCGTGGCTTTGTGTCCTGTGTATGACTGGTTCTCGGTAAAGGAACCTGTTCATACACACCTTCCCTTGGCCTGTGAAACAAGCAGCACAGGGTGGCGATTAGAATAGACTCCGGGGGCAGATGCCCAGGTTTGAATTCTGGCAGTGCTGTGTGACCTTGGAAAAATGAGTGAACCTCTCTGTCCCTCAGTTTCCCTGTGGAGCAAATGAGGATAACAACAGTAGCTGCCTCATTGGGTGATGAAGTCAGTGTTTGTAGAGCCACAGGTGAGGGTCTGCCACCGGTGTTTCATGCTTCTTGTGAAATTAAGGAGTTTCGTGTTGAGGGCTTCTGTGCACTGAGGGTGTGCTAAGCAGGGGATGCCAGGCATGGGGATTGTGATAGGGACAGCCTGTACCGCTCTCTCAGGGAGTTTACATCCTGCAAGAGATGACAGCCATGCCAGGGCCTGGGGTGTGGACAGGCTGCTGTGAGGGGCGGTTCTGGAGGAGGTGGTGCTGCAGCTGGATCCTGCATGAGCAAGCGAGGCCGGGAGGACCCCTGAACAAGCATGCCAGGCAGTGAGGGCAAAGGCCCTGTGGTGGGAGTGCATGAGAAGCAGAGGGTGGGAAATGGGGTTCCAGGAGCCCCCAGGCCTGGTCATGGAGTTCTGTGCGCCAAGGCAGGGTATTAGAGCTTATTCTAATGAGGTGGGAAACCAAGGAAGGTTTTAGTAGGGGAGTGATAGTTTTAGAAGGATGATGCTGGAGAGAAATACTTTTAATGTACGATAGGGCATGTGCATATTTAATAGTAATATGTGTCTTTATATGTTATCTAATAAAATTGGATTATTCTGCACATCCTGTGATTTATGGCGCACTACTGATTAGGAAAAGGAAAGCAAGTTGGTTCCTGAGGCTGGGAGTGGGGCTGTGGGTCAGGGGTGGGGTCTTCCCTGGCACGAGGGTGGGTGGGGCCTTCTGCCCTATGTGGCCGCAGTCACAGCTCTCCCTGGGACCCAGGAAGGACACTGCTGAGTACTTAATCTGGGATAGTGAGGACATAAGTTTAAAAGCATGACTGATGAACAAGTATGGAACCCATTCCTGAGATCCTTTTCCTGCTACCAAGAAGTTTCCTTTCTTATTCGGTGGTACTGGGGATTGAACTCAGGACTCCATGCTTGCTCTACTGTTGGAGACACACCCCAGCTCTTTTTACTTTAGTTATTTTTCAAATGGGGTTTTACAGTTTTGCCAAGGCTGGCCAGGACCTCAGTCCTTCTGTTTATGGCTCCCACGTAGTTGGGATGACAGGTGCACCACACCCAGTTTCTTGATTGAGACGGGAGTTTCACAAGTTTTTTTTTGCCTGAGCTGGCCTTGAACAATGATTCTTCCAATCTCTGCCTCCCAAGTAGCTGGGATTATAGATGGGAACTACTGTGCCAATCTTCAAGAAAAATTTCTTGATGGTGTTAAGGAAAGCAAATGTGGAACAAGCTCATTTTTTTTTCTTATTTTTTTTTTCATTTTTCTTTTATTATTCATATGTGCATACAAGGCTTGGTTCATTTCTCCCCCCTGCCCCCACCCCCTCCCTTACCACCCACTCCACCCCCTCCCTCTCCATCCCCCTCAATACCCAGCAGAAACTATTTTGCCCTTATTTCTAATTTTGTTGTAGAGAGAGTATAAGCAATAATAGGAAGGAACAAGGGTTTTTGCTGGTTGAGATAAGGATAGCTATACAGGGAGTTGACTCACATTGATTTCCTGTGCGTGGGTGTTACCTTCTAGGTTAATTCTTTTTCATCTAACCTTTTCTCTAGTACCTGTTCCCCTTTTCCTATTGGCCTCAGTTGCTTTAAGGTATCTGCTTTAGTTTCTCTGCGTTAAGGGCAACAAATGCTAGCTAGTTTTTTAGGTGTCTTACCTATCCTCACCCCTCCCTTGTGTGCTCTCGCTTTTATCATGTGCTCAAAGTCCAATCCCCATGTTGGAACAAGCTCATTTTTGCACTTGATGATTTCCAATCAATTGATCAGAGAAAGGAAAGCTGAGGACAGCTGCCTGGGACATATATCTCAATTCTGAGCAGTAAATGACACCAATAGCCACATCCTGTTATTGGAAGGAGCCTGATGTGTTCAGGAGGAAGGCCTGGAAGTAGAGCCTGAATTGCACTTTATCCTAGTTGGCATGAAGATTTTATGAAGGAAGTAAAAATCTAATCAGCCACCACAATTGTCCCAAGTCTGACCAGAGCCACTGTTTATCCTATGTTAGGGAGGGAGTCCATTTTTTTGAGGCCCAGGACCTAGAACTCACAATCTTGCCTCAGTCTCCTGAGTGCTGGGATTACAGGTGGGCACCAACATGCCCAGCAAGACACTCATTTGCTTTTTAGAGGCAATCTTCAGAAGAGCTTCCTTCTAACCATGGAGGCACTGTAGTGGCCTGGGCAGACCTGGCAAGCCCAGCTCCAGAGTTGGTATGTGCTCCTCACCATTCCCAGTTTCTCTGCTGTCTGGAAGACCACCTTTGCCTAGAGTTTGGATGTCAGTGAACAACTAGTACCCTGGACTTGGGGCCCAGAGATCTGGGCAGAGGAGGGCACATGGAGGTGAGCCAGCAGACTAAAGAACACCTGCCACCTCTCCTGACCCTACTGTGTGCCACCTGTGGGACTCTGGCCCTTAGTTTGAGTTTCTGCTAACCACACAAGCAACTCCTAGGCATTCAGGGGCACCAACCTCCTTGGCTCATGCCTGAGGAGAGGAGGGAAGAAGAGAGAGAAGGGATGTGGCTCCATGATGGGGGAACAGGCGAGCTGAACTGGGGGACACATGGAGACCTGCCATGTCAGCCCATGTGGCTCCTGTCACTCAGGTGAGCAATGCACGCTTGAGACACTGTCAACTGCCATGGAGCCCTTGCCTGCTCTTGTCATAGCTCTTGTCACATAGCCAGAAGGCTCTTGCAGCTCATGGTGAGGAAGGAGAGCTGGGTTATGCTGAAAGCAAAATTTGTTCAAACAGAAACACACACATGCCCTGAGTCCAGATCTTATCATAGGTTTTCTATTGCGGCAACCACACCAAAAAATAAACTGTAAATACAACAAATGATATTAGATGATTTCTGTAAAATACAACTTCCCAAAATCACATAGAGTTGTGCTTTTTTGTTGTTGTTGTTGTTGTTGTTTTGCCCGACAGAATTTAAACCACTATCTCAAGATAACACATGGCTTCCAGCCAGTTAACTAAACCCTGCATGTGTCAGCAGCAGTGGGGTGGCACGACGACCACCAGGTTATGTTCCCATCTCTTCAAAATGAATTCCTGAACTCAACACCAACTGAGAGGCATGCAGGGAGACGGCCTGAATGGAGCTCAATCTAGCATTCTCCCTTAGCTGTCGGAATGAATCCTCCTCCTTGACAAGTCTCTGTTGATCCTTCATGCCAAAAATATAATACTACATTATAAACATGAAGAGGCAAATGGAGCTGCCCAATGCCTAAAGTGTTGGCTGAAAGTGGTGGCGCGGAGCTCATGTGAAAGCAGGTAATGAGTACTGGTCTGCAGTGGCTGCACAGCAGTGGCTCAGAGGACAAGCAGAGGGAAGTTACTGTCCAACAGCCCAGTCCTGGCCTGGCTTTCTAGGTCTTAGACGAAGGCTGGTTCAAGGCCTTTCCTGGGCAAGTTACAAAAACAAGGTACAAACCATTTAGAAAAGAGTTTCATGCAGCCACAGTGTCCCCAGCACTTATGTGACATGTCCCCATTCTCATACTGCCTTTTTGTGAAAACAATTTGGACCTTTCACATAATAAACAGGACTCCTGGGTCTACCTAAATCCATTCTTTCCCTTCTTTCATTTATCAATCAGCTGCTGAGCCCCACACAGCCGGCACTGTGCTGCACTGGGATTATAAAATTAAAGGAATTGTCACTGTCACCTTAAGAGGTCTATGCTTCCTGGGACCCATATTATGGTGTTAGGAAAGGGAGCTGTGGGAACAGAGAGGAGGAACCCCTGACTCTGTGTGAGTCTCTCTATGTGTCTGTGTGTGTGTTTTAGGAAAAGAGGAAGAACACCATGGGTTGGGGACGGTATGGATGGAAGGGTGTTCAGATGAAGATGGAGTGCTTTTGTAGGGCTGATCAAAAGCCACTTACTTGCTAAGGAGTTTGGGCTTACCTGAGTTACTTTCTCTTAAAAGAAGTAGCTGTTCTGATTGCCTTAGGAGGCGGTTTGCTGTCAAGGCTAGATGTGAAACATTTTTTGCAAGTACCAAATGCACCTTACAAGGATAAGGCATTATTACTCTGGAAATAGTATTTAATAGTATTAAATTTAACCACTTCTTCTCTGTAGCAGCTGATAAAAAAGTATTTCAGATTTAACCTCAAGAGGCCACGACCTGATGTG